TTTGACAACTTTTTATTAAATGGTTGTCAAGCAAATATTTTCTGCCAATAAATTCACTAACTGAGGCTGTCTTGTGGGACTAGATGTAGATTAGAACTATTTCCGCCAAAACCCGATTGTTTGAAGACTTGTATCTAAGGAAGATAGTTCTCTTCGTTTTTGGGATGACGATCTTCAAATAAACTTTTCATTTTCTTTTTTTTTTATAAATATTTCGAGTTCTCTTTATGATCTTTTGTTGTTTTTGTAGCGGTCAACTAAAACATGTTTGGTGCTCATTTGACGGCAGACAGAGTTGATAAATTGGTTTAAATGGGTATGCAATGAGTTAGTTAGTATCATGCGAGAACTAATTGCGGGCATATCACATTTTTATCGTGCTTTAATATCTAGGGCTTCAGGATTGTTTTTGTAGACAATTGGCACTTTAGAGTTTAGTGCTTGTTTGTATGTTACCGCCTTCGTAGTCTAATGATGAAAACAGGCACCGACATTCCGCCCTTCCGTACTTACCGCCCGTATCAAAACAAATTTGTCAAAAGTTATGCCCGTAGTGGCAACGTAGAAATCAGTTGTTCTCTTTTGTTTTCATTTCACCAATTTTGCCATTATTCAATTTGTATACACGATTTTTCACACATTTAGTTTTTTAGTTATAAGTTTTCATAATGTAAAAGCTCAGTAAAATTAAACTATTATAAATAGTATACCCATTTATAAATAAATGTATTCGATTGTGATATTGAGTTAGTTTAAGAATATTTCAAAAATATGCAAGCTTATTTTTTAATTACTACAAAATATCGGTCGACGGTTTTGCGTCGGTGACTGTTTCCAGCATAACCTGTAAAGTACGAATGCTGTAGGCGTGTTGTCTGCAGAGACATTATAAGTTTGGCATTTCGAAAAACTATAAACGTAATCAATTTCGAACATCCACACGCTTAGATATGTATAAATTATACTACTTGGTACGTGCCTCGCTAGTTAAATGCGTACAAATGTACTTTTTTGTTGTTGTCGTCACGAAAAGACAAGAAAATAAATTACGCAAATACAGCAAAGAGTTTGGAGCGAAAAGGAAAGGAGCCTTAATTAGCAGCAAAATTCACAGAAGCAATTTTTAAACGCTAAAGTAACTGCTAAATAGGAAGCACTCTGCAACAAAGCAAACTATTGACGCGCAACCGAGTAATTTGCATGCATAACGTAACTTAAAAGGCAGTTATGACCAGAGCGTACGCGCGATAATTAGCGGCTTTCGTCTCCACTGTCATACATACAGAGTTGGGTAACTCGCATTGAACATATGTTTATCAGCCGAGAAGGCTTTTGGCAGTAGCTCAGCTCTACTGACGGCACTTTCATTGCTGCCAGAACACAAAAATACGGAATCAAGAATACTATTTTAGAATAATTTAGTGTCTAGTATATGGGTAGGAAATCTCTAAAATAAATTGTCAACTATCTCATTACGAAATTCAAGAACAAACGAACAAATGAAAACGAGCGCAGCTCGCAAATACTCACAGAACACTACGGGTTACTTTTGATATGCAAAATTAAAACTTGTTTGTATAGAGAGAAATGTATGGAGCCATACTTTATCCATAACTCGACAAGGACATACTTTTTTTGCTTAGGTTGGCAGGACTGTTATATGTTTACATGTCAAATTTGAGCGCGATCTGTCACATAGTTTTTTTTTACGGCACTATAAACCTCGAGTGTGTTTTTCGAATATTACTATGGAAATTAACGTTGAGCAAAGAGTTTGTTTGAAATTTTGTTATTCCAATGGAATAAGTGCGACGGACGCAATGGAAATGTTGCAGAAGGCATATGGGGAGTCTTGCCTATCACGTGCACGTATTTTTTCGACTTGTTCCAAAATCCAGCTCATACGTCTCGTCTAGTACGCGATTATTTGACCTAAAACAACGTAAATATTGTCCTGACTTTTTTATTTTCCCTAAACTCAAATTGCCGCTTCGTGGAAAGCATTTTCAGTCGATTGAAGTCATAAAAGAGAATTCGAAGAAGGAACTGAAAGCCATACCTAAAGCGGCCTACCAGAAGTGTTATGAAGATTGGAAAAAAAGGTGGCATATGTGTATCGCCTCTAATGGTGACTATTTTGAAGGGGATAAAATAAATATTGAAGAATAACTAATCGTTTTTGTTTTATTGAGCCAGTTTCGTTTATATTTGAACAGAAGGTATATCTTTCATAAGTATATCCCGTTAAATTTTCTAAGGAGAAGAGTTCACCTGATTTTTGATTCAATCAAGCAAACTTGTCATTAAGATAAAAATTAATCTAGTATAATTAGATAAGAACATTTTCTTGTTATAGCTTCACAAAAAAATCCCGCAAATAGTTTTGAAAAATTATATTGAAGAAATGGTCCATAATAAAAATAATCTAACTATTAGCCTCCTCACGCCCAACCGACGCGAGAGGCGCAATCCGCAAACGTACAGAATTAGCCGAGTCAGAAAAGGCAAGAGAGTGTTGAGAGCTGAAACTGCTCAGCTACAGAAACAAAAATTTCAACAGCTATTTTTATTTGTTAAGGGAAAGCAATAAAGTTTTTTTTTTTTTTTTTGAAAAGTGGGTCAGATAAGTCAATTGTGCTGGAATGAGAATTAAAATCATAATATATACGACGGCATGGTTCGTATAGTGCGAAATTTGATCTACAGGATTTTAACAGTAAAAGTCTAAACTGCCTCGAAAAGCGAACCGGGATATTAAATTTAATTTCAGACAGGAGAAAAGAACTGCAAACTGTTCCATTCAAGATTTTCAATTAGAATATTATGCCAAGTATTTCCCTACGACTAGAAAATGTAGGTAGATTTATAAGTTTTAAACGACTAGTGTATAGATGTAGACTTACCCTAGAATCCCATCGAAAATGCCCTAAGGCGAAAAGTAAAAATTGTTTTTGAACATTCTCGAATAATTTTAACTTGGAAATTTACTTGAAAACTGAGTGCGCCGCCTCTTGATGTATAAAAAAATGTTTAAAGAGTTCTTTTTAAAAGATAATATTTTATATATCATGGAAATATCGAACCATATAATTGGATTTACAGAAATAACCATGTTCCTAACCTCATATTTTTGATAATAAGATTTTAAACAGCGAATTTCAAATATTTAGATGTGATCGACTGACCGTTTTTCGAAAAAATGTCCGAGTTGGGCAAGAACCAAATTAATATGATTCCGAATAAATTTGGTAAATGCTTAGATTTAATATACGTTGATACTTCTTTAAAGTGTTCCGTTATTCAGAATAATCCTCTTGTGCTATCAGAGGACTCGTATCATCCTGCTTTGGAAATATCTGTCGAAATCATAGGCAAAGTACGGGATAGTCATCAGAATTAGATCATCAAACTTTTACCTCCTGTACTCGGTTTAACTTTGCAAAAGCTAATTTTAAAAAGTTAAATAGCGAAGTTTCTACATATTGAAATGAGTGTCTTGCATTTTAATAACATTATTACAAAATTATTTGAACAGTATGTTCCAATAGTAATTTTAATAAAAGTAAAAGTATAAGTCCGTGGTTTTCAAAAGTGTTATCTAAATTGAAAAACCGAAAAACTCGAGCTTTGAACATTAAAAAAAACAGATACACTTGTTGACTATTTTAAATATTTTGTATTGCGTCGACAGTATTTTGACCGAAACAAAAAATGTTATAATAATTACTTAAATAAGGTAAAAAAGATTATTGTACGTAATCCAAATTCGTTTTATGATTTCGTTAACTCCAAACGCAGGATTTTCAATTTTGCGTCCGCGATGAAATACAAATCTATCATTTCAAGTGACAATGATATTATATCCAATATGTTTGCAGAATTTTTCAAGGCAAACTACTGTAATAGTTCTCTTAAAACTTTTTCCTATCAGCACTTGCTGTGTCCGAATACTTTAATTAACGCTCCAATTATTTCTGTCGAAGACGTCCTACTCAATTTAAATAAGTTAAAACCATCTTTAAGTAAAGGGAATACAAGCATTTGCTTAAATCTCAGCTAAAGGCTTGGTAAAACTTCATCGCACATGTACTTACAATAGAGCAGAATAGTTTCAGAAGAATTGTTCCAATGAATTTACTAAAATCTATGTATGACAAGATGAATTCTTCTTGAACAGCTATGAAAAGATGGTTTAATCATTTTATATATAACGTTATTTTCCAAATGTTTAAATTTTTTAAAAATTAAAAAAAAGGATTAAAAATATTGCAATACTAATTTTATAATGTTTCCAAGTTAAAATCAAGGAGCCTCATTTAAATTTCTTCCATAGTCTATGATTCCAAACAACAAAAAATCCAGTTGAACAAAAGAAATCGATAGATAACATTGAGAAATCTTCAATTAACAATCTGGGAAATAATAGTGATCTGAATTCCTTTAATTTATCCCTTTTGATCTCTTTTCCAAATAAGTGACTTTGTGTCAAGTTCATATACCAGTATTCTTGAGATCTAAAAGCCAAATAATCCCCTAACTGCAAAGATTTTTAGTGAACCAATGCAATATACCAGTTGCGGCTGCTTCTACTTGCTATGTATCGTTATCACTTCATGTTACTACCCAGTGAAGAACTCAAACATAATGGAAGCTAACTCAACGAAGTTGTGCGTTCTTACATATGTACCAACTTGTAATACTCGCCTTACCATCATATCCTTATTACTTTTATGGTTTTATGATATCCTTACTTAATATGTTTTGAATGACACTTTTCTATTTATTTGGAACGAAGCTTACATAATTCTTCTACATAGAAACGTTAACAGCTATTGATTGAAGAACTTTCAAGCTTTTGGCTTTTTCTAAATTAGTGCTGCTTTACACGTCTTCGTATATTTCAGACTAAATTCTTACGTCTTAAACGTCTTTGGTGCTGAGGTTTACATAATTACGTACATGCTTAGCCTTTATAAGATTAATCAAAGCAACGTAGCTCATTTGTTGATAAATATATTTTATTTTTATAAAGTTAACCGTTTTCTTATTTATCTATACATAACTAACAATTAAAGCATTCATTTTATGAATTGTGGAGATCAGCAGCACTGAAAAGCTCTCAAAATCCGGGCTGGCAGATATTTCATAAATCTTTATCATTATTTTTATACTCTCGCAACCTGTTCCTACAGAGTATAATAGTTTTGTTCACCTAACGGTTGTTTGTATTACCTAAAAATAATCGAGTTAGATATAGAGTTATATATATATAAATGATCAGGATGAAGAGACGAGTTGAAATCCGGATGACTGTCTGTCCGTCCGTCCGTCCGTGCAAGCTCTAACTTGAGTAAAAATTGACATATATTTATGAAACTTGGTAGACATGTTTCTTGGTACCGTGAGACGGTTGGTATTGCAGATGGGCGTAATCGAACCCCTGCTACGCCCACAAAACGCCATTAATCAAAAACAAATAAATTGCCATAACTAAGCTCCGCAATAAGAGCCAAGACTGTTAGTTGGTACACAGGATCACATTAGGGAGGGGCATCTGCAGTTAAAATTTTTTTAAAGTGGTCCCGCCCCTAATAGGTTTAATGTGCATATCTCCTAAACCGCTAATGCTATAATAACAAAATTCACTAAGAACAAATGTTTTCAGAACCTCTACCTTCAGTGTGAAAATAGTTGAAATCGGGTAGCAACTCCGCCCACCCCCCATATAACGTTACTGTTAAAAACTACTAAAAGCGCGATAAATCAACCACTAAACACGCCAGAGACATTAAATTTTATCTCTGGGATGGTATGAGATGACTTTATAGGAACCGCGCTCAAAATTAGACAGTAGGTGTGAAACCGCCCACTTTTAGGTAAAACCCATATCTTGAGATCTACTTCACCAAATTCGGTACATAACATTCTTCTCATATCTCTATATTATTGTGCGAAAATGGGCGAAATCGGATTACAACTACGCCTATTTCCCATATAACACCATTTTAAATTCTATTTTATTCTTTCACTTTCCACTATGCAAATCAAGCAACAATGATTGTATCGGGGTAAAACTTTGCGTGAATAATACGTTTAAAGTATGCCACCTTGTGACCAAAAATTGTGTAAATTGAACCAAAACTGTTCAAGCCCCTAAGTACTAAATATGTGGACCCCAGTGCCTATAGTTGACCTTCTACCGAAAATATCAGTCAATCCACAAAGAAATCTCAAACGAGTATACCATTTGACCTTGCGAGAGTATAAAATGTTCGGTTACATCCGAACTCAGCCCTTCCTTACTTGTTATATTTTTGTTTTGATCCTTAGAGTATTCAAGTGAGAACTTTTACCTATTTTAAAGTGCTTCAATTATTAAATATCAGTCGCATTCAGACTCCATTGTTATTTGTAGTTTAATTTTGCTGTTCACGGATTTAGCATGGTAGTCATTGATCAAGTTAACGTTAGTGTTGTTGTAGTGTATTTTGTGGTGCATTTATTCAACAGTGCTCGGGTGTGTTTTATATACAATTTCTTATTATTTTTGTGTTTATTGCTAAAATTTTGTTACATATATGTACAAACTGGGACTCCGAGGTACAACATAACTGCAGTTAAAGAAATTTTGAGTTGTGTAATTATATATTATAGGAAATAGTCTTAGTTAGTTAAACCTAGGTAATTTCGTGAAACCGATAACTTTCTGCACATTCTTTTTAACGGCATATTGTATAGCACAAAATCAGATTTGAAACCCTTACTGAGCTCGTTTCACTAGATCTCCCTATATATATTATATATATATATTATATATGTAAACTTTCTGTATTATATTTTTGTAAGGCAGTGCGTTCGAAGACTCTTATGGTAGCTATAGTTTTTTTTTTTATTGTAGCGCTTTGCTAGAGAATTAGTATGTGCAGGAAGGATAAATAAGAATTTCTACAATTTTTTTTTGAAGCGTTTTTATGGTGCAAATTAGACTTTTAAATTGAGAAATATAACTTAAACGAATAATATTTTTTTTTGAAATAATTTATGTGAAAAGATATAAGTGAAACAAAACGAACCCAAATTTTTATATCCCAGCAACTTTTAATCCAACTATTCGCTATGTTCAAAGCTGCTATAAAACTAACAACAAATGGAACTAACTCGGAATATGTAAAAGTGAGTTATAATGACTGTCGCTGAATCCGGTAGTAATTACAAAGCAGCAAGAATTTATGATGTATCATAAACAAGAAAACTTCGGCTGCTGCTTCGAGGCTATAATACCGTTCACAGTTTCAAGTTTTTCTTACAATTACTTGAGTTTGATCTCACAGTTTGTATGGCAACTACATATATGCCATAGTGGTCTGATATCGCCGGTTCCGACAAATGAGCATCTTTGTGGAGATTGGAGAGAAAAGGACGTATGCAAAATTCCAGATCGGTATCTCGACTGAAAGATTAGTTCGCGTATATAAAGACAAACGGACATAAGGACAGACAGACGGACATGGCTAAATCGACTCATCTTGTCACGCTGATCATTTATATAAATATAATATGGGGTCTCTGACGTTTCCTTTTGGATGGCAAACTTAATATACCTTGTTGAAGGTATAAAAAGATACATTTACTTAAGTCCATGTATCTGCTAAACCGTTTATTATACCTAACATGCTCCTAACAATGTTTATAAAAAAAATTTCAATTTTATCAATTTGTGTGTAATTTAATTAGCCAAATTTTTGGGTTGATTGATAGTTTAAATAGTTTGTATATAAAAAATATTTTACAAACAAGTGTACGTATGTATTTATTACAAATCATGTTCTAAATTGTTACTAGCTATACACAGCAAAACAGTTCTACCGTTGTCCATTCGGCGCTCTGTTTGGATTTTCGCCAATATAAAGCTCACATCTATGGTGCTTCCAACTGTATCATTTCGTTATGAGCTTTCACGCTATATCTAAGCGCCAAAAGCTCAAACGGCTCATGCTAACGGTGTAAACTTCTCTGCAAATATTTTTTGTTAGCAAGCGAGAAGTGTGAGTGTATGCAAAACGCTTATGTGTGCATGTATGTGGAAAGCAAAATTTCAATACAATTACCAACTGAAAAAAGATCGACGGAATGAAGAAATTATCAACAAATGAAAGTAAATGAAACAAAACCAACTGAACTTTTAAATATTGTGTAATTTTTTAAAATTTAATAATTCTTTTAGCTTGCTTAGATAATAAAATTCCTAACTAGTTTTACGCTGCTAAATACAATTTATGCATACAACTATAATGAACAATCAGTCTTTCTCTAAGAAAAGTGCTTTTTATCTTAAACTAAACAAGAAATAAATAATAGAGAACACAATAATAATTTTTAAATTCATCTCTTCTTTCAATCATTTACAGTTACAAATAGAAAGTACCTACTCAAATAAACAAAAATAAGTTTATCTAAATTTAAAGAAGTAAATAAAGAATATTGTGAGTTACGGACTCGAAATGTCATTACGTTAATTAGTCTCTTTGTTTGAATGTGAAATTTAACACATAGCAGTGGACAGCTCATCTGTTGCGACTATCTTACATCTGCTGGAGGCAGCATATTTACAGAACATACATATTTACAAGGCATAAGCAATCGGATGACGCGCAGTGGTTGACCCAGGCGCTGGGCGACGAAGCGTGGAAGCGTCTGTGGTTGTTTAATGCGATCACGCGATTGTCACTGCGCTGCACTGCTGCTCCTTGCCCACGCCGTCTTTGACACCCAGCAATGGCGCGGTCACATTCATGCCGCCCGTCGACAAATTGAGACCATGCAGTTCTGCAATATCGTAGCTGGTGGGCATAACCACTTCCAACGACGCTTCGTCCTCCAACGCCACGGATGACACTTTGTATGCCTTCTGCTTTATTAGCTGCTCCTGCGCTTGTTGCTGTCGTTGCGCTCCACTCTGCTGCTTCAATGTGGCTGTGAACATGTTGTTGTAAACATCAGCAATGTCCGGATGGTGATGCACAGTCGATATCGTCGGATACATGAACTTCATGCCGTAGGAGAAGTGCTGGTGCTGATGATGCAATGCCTCGTCGTAGGTCGGCAGTCCGGTGGCAATGGTGTAGCAGGGCGGCGACTCCATCTGCTGATAGTAAGCGGCGGAGGTAGCGGCAGCAGCTGTTGCCGTATGTCGGCCGTGGGCACCCATTAAACGGTCGCAAACGACAAGATGGCCATCGGTGTACAAGTCGTTGCTCAAATGGTTACGAATGTCCTTATCTAAAAGGGAGAAAAAGTGATGGAAAATGCGTGGTTAATCACTGTGTTGCATGTGTGTATGTAAAAGCAATAGTCGGAGTTTCAAGCTACCAGAAATCTCTTAATTGAGAAGCAGCTGTGCTTGAGAGAAAAAAATAATCAAAGTTGTCTATACAGTGGAGCAATGGATTGCAGTGTGTGTAAGTTTATGTAATATTTTATGGCGAATAAACCAAATTCCTTTAAACTTTCCTAAACAGCTTAAGTCCACGGCAACCACAAAATGCGCAAGCAAACAATTTGAGCCACCAGCATAACTGTCAATCAAAGGTGCTTAATAATTATGACAAGGCGTAGCATTGGTTTCCAACACACACAGACACATGCATACATGTTTGTCGCCCGGTTGCCTTTCTCACAACACTTGAACGGCCTTAAGCAGCAAATAAACAAGCAGGCTAGTTGAAGAAGGACCAGCTTTAATTGATAGCACTGGTACACAAAATTAAACACTTTTTAGTTTTATGAAGTTTATTAATTTGACGTCGCTGATTTCAAATCTACCCTCAGTTTCTTTCTAGCAACTCTAGTTTTTGTGATACAGGCACTTCTTGAAATATCGTTACTCGGCTTAGTTGAATTGTTTTTAGGGCAAAAACAGACTATATCAATCATAATCTAATCATATCTAAATCATACAAAATCGGAAAAGAAAAGAAACTTCATAAAACAAAACTTATGTTTCCCAATGTAATCGATAAACAAAGTGAAAACATAGCAACTAGCAAGAAGGGGTGCAACGGCCACATATAGCCGTAAAAAAGTTTGCTACAACCATCTAGCATACAAAAACATCAATATTTCAGCTGTCAAAGCATGACAAGTGCGCACAGACGATTGTTGCACAGCACCACAAAAAAGAAGTAGATGGAGAGAACGTAAAATGTGGGCACACAACACAAAAATTTAAACCATTTGCTTCGTAAAATACAAACTGCATCGTTTTTCATACATTTCTAGATGTTCTGCCACTGTCAAATGCCTTCTTATGTCTTGCATTGATAGAAGACACTTGTTTCTGGTATTGAAAGCCGTAAATGGTTGCGCAATTCAATTATAATTGTTTTCACTTGCATGCCGGAATTAAAATAATTTGTGGAAAGAAAAATATAGGTACAAGTAAACATACATACAGTGTTTGGTCGCAAAGCGTTACATTTGTAACCAGTTGTGATTTACCTCGAAAACTATTCATATGTTCGAAAAATAATGATCAAATGTGCTTGAGCAAACGGAATGTTCTTGAAATGTTTGTTCAAGACCGGCTCTCATTGTTAATATTTTTAAAGAAATTCCGTTGAAAACAGTTAAAGCGTTCAAAACAGTATTTTTTTAATTTAAAGAGTAGGAAAATAGCAAAATTAATCAAATATTATTGATTTCTAAATGTTAAATTTAATTTCCGAATATAAATACTCTGGCAATCAAATTTGGAGAAACTAGAGAGTAGAGTGAAAAAAAATATTTGTTTACTGAAATATGTATATGCAAATTTTTTTTTTCTCAAAATAAATCTCTCTTTAAACAGTTAAGAGATGACTGTGTGACCATTGTTTATTATTAATTCTGGGTAGTGTCTATATGTTAGTTTTTATTTTTAATGTGCTTTCTCATTCCATATATGGGTGCATTCGTATGTTATATGCCGCTGCAAATCTTTTGAATATTTCTACAACTGTAAGCTATAGATTGAAGCTTGGACCAACAAGTGTTGAGGCATTTTGATGTCGTTTACAATATTATTACACATTTGGTAGCTGTCAAGAAAGGGACGTTGAAATAATAGAAACAGAAAAACAAAACCTGCTGACAGTTGAACGTATTTAAGATACTGGGGGAGAGTGGTTTAGAAGTGATTTTTAAGAGTCTTTGAAAGTAATTATAAAAATGTAAGTTTAGGAATACAATTTTTATTACAAAAAACCGATCATAAAGTTTTAAAATTTAATAAAAAATTAATTTTTTTCTCAAAATTTTAACGAAAATTTTTAAAATTTTTTAAATTCGATTCAATTTTATCTTAAATTAATATTTTGATTATTTAGAAACTATTTAATTCGCACTAATTTAACGCTTTCAATATTTCTCATGCAGCAGCAAAATTTCACAATACACACCCACAAACTATACATATATAGCAAATACAAGAAATGTTTACGAAGAAAACGGGCAATCAACCGGAAGGTAGTATTCCCAAAGGAAAGGAAAGTATTGCCAGCTGATAAGTTTTTATTAAAAAAAACCAACAAAAACAATAAATGTTGAGCGTATATACAAATAAACATTCACATAGCTATGGCAGCAGCGCAACAGACCATTAAATTTAAATTGCAGTGCAATTCACACAAAAAATTGTACAATGCATACTTTTAGGCGCAACAACGCTGCATTTGTGTACATTTTTGTACATGCAATTTTAATAAAAATGAGCAAAAGAAATGAACAGCTGCACGTCGAAAATCGCTGACACTTAACCATTGTTGCAGAAAAACACATATATACGCATATAAAATTCTACTCACATAAACCACTCCATCCACTTACTAACCCAAGCACGCCACTGAATGCATAATAAAGCAATGAACAAAAACAAAAAACAAAACCGCTTTCATAAATACGCAAAATGCAAGTCAATTGAAACTCATTGCTGTCGTTTTCAATAAATCTTTAAACTTCTTTGGTAGGTAAAAATCGCTCCTCACCGAGGGTGCCGACTGGTAATAGATACCACAGTATCCCAACGAAGAATGGACTGGCTAGTAGCAGTTCGCCACTGTTGCAGTTGGGAGGTATCTCAATTGGGGTGTCTTACTACTTTTTGGGGTACGGCAAGGGCTCGATCAAGGTGTCATTCGACCAGTGCCGAGGATCAACCTGGCTGGGGGCCCTTTAAAAGCCCAGTTTCGAACGGTGCTTACAGATACCTGGCGCCCTCCGTAATAAGATAGTATTGCTTGTGTAACGGGGGCTATAAGCCAGCGGACATGCTTTAACCTAAACTCGTAAGTCCAAAACATGAACCAGAATAATAACAAAACAGAAACAAAGGAGCAACGAGTTTGAAAGCAGGTAGCAAAAAGACAGGAACGAAGCTTGGTATAGATGCAAGGGCTGGCACCAGCAAAGGAGTTGAAGCTAAGCCTAGCTCCCGGAAGGCAACAACACTAGTGGCAACCGGAACCAAACCCGGTAGCCAAAGTAGAGCGGAGATCAACTATGGATTCACGAATGGAAAAGAAATACGAGGTAAGTTCGTATGTAAAGCATACCAAGAGCAGCTAGTATATGCATCAGTGGTGTCTTTTCGGCAAAATTAGATACCAAAATCGCCTTCCGTTTACCAGACCACTGCAGTGTCTTTTAAGCGAAAATCACAGCAATCAAAGAAAGTCCTGCTGTTCTGGCAAGCAGTGTGCTTAGAACAAGGAATATATTTATATAATAAATACAGACAGCAAAGCGGACTTGAAATCACTGAATATTCTTAGGGTTTCGTTAAAAATAGTGAAATAATGCCTTGATCTCTTAGTGGATCTAACATTCTATTTCACCATAAACCTGCAATGGGTTACAGGGCATAGTAATATCCCTGATAACTTTGAAGCAGATGAACTAGCCAGAACAGGGTCCACCCTATTATTAGACCCCGAAAAAAGGGAATTTATATGCCTCTGGCCACTTGTAAATACTTAATCGACGATCATGTTATAAATTGAGCTGAGCCCCGATGAAGTCGATCCGTGACAAGAAGACAAACGTAGCATGAATGGTACAGGGGCCGCACATGCCGACTACCAAAGTCAAAAGGAATGACATAAAAACTCTAATAGAATTGCTAACAGGTCACTGTCTAATTAACAGACATGCAGGCAGACTAGGTGCACCATACATTGACTATTGTAGAAGCTGTCAGGAGGCAGACGAAGAGGAAACGGTAAAATATCTTCTATGCGAGTGCAAGGCTCTTTACAGGAAATAATTGCAACTATCGGTCATGGGTTTCTTGACGACGTTTCTGTGGTTGCACAAATAAAACTTTGTGAACTGATGAACTTCATCAGAAGCACCAGAGGGTTCAGAGGAGAGACAATAGAGTGAGGGGCTAATAGTCCCGGTGGTATTACAATGGGCCTCCTAAAGGACTAGGTGCGTCGTCAAACAGCCACTCTACCTACCTAAACTTCAAAGCTACAGACTAACTGTAATAGCGATGAATTATGCAACAGGTGTGATTAAACTAAATGCCTACATTTATTGTTGAAGGACAGACGTTTAATATTTTAATTGCGAAGGCGCATGCAAATTGATTGCTATTAGTGCGCCTAAATACAGGTTAAAAATAACTGAAATCAACATTTTTAGCATTGAATATGGTTGGTTTGCATGTATGTGTTGTTGGGAATGTTATATATTTGTTGTTGTTGCACAGCTTGCTGTTTTATTAAACAAAACTGGCAACGCAAGAGCGCAAACATGACTGCCGACCATATGTGACTGCGCGCTTCTGCGCTCACAACACAGAAAACAACAGATACAAAAACGAGATTCATGCGAAATTTATATGCGTTGTAAAAAATATGTGATTTTTCATATGTGCACTTACACAGCCAGAAAAAATCAACTTCTCAAATATAATGCAACATATGCGCCCAAATGTGTGCTACGCTGAAGTGTAAGTGCGTTTAGACCCTTATATATTCATACTTTTTAATTTTTTTATTAAACAGTTCAGTGTTTTTGTGGCCAGCTTCAACACTGGGACGCGTGAGCGCTGCCACGAATACAGCATACTCTTTTTGACCACGCTGCCGTTATTTGCGCGCCATAAAGTATGCAAATACGGTGGAATGCTGTGTCAATTTTACAACTCGACGCCTGCATGGCACAGTGGGCATGGCCACGCTCGCAGTCATTCAAATTTAATGCTATATATATGGGGCAAAAATTTGTGTGTGTGTATTTGTGTACATTTTTAGTTCACGTGCGGCAATTAATTGTGAAATATCGCACAAGTGTTGCTTTTAGTGAGCCATTTTTGCGTGTGCTGTTGTTGATGATGAATTTTTATGTAAATATAAAAAATTATTTTATTGTCAATAAAAAAATGGTGTCAGTTTTTCGAAGCATTACAAGCGTTGGTGATTTTATCGCATTTTTTTGCAATTGATTATTTGTTGGTTCTGCAGGACCTTGCGACGATTTGTTCATTTTGAGTTGTAACTTTTTTAATCTATTGCGGTTTATTAGATCGCTCTAAGCAACTGAGTGCAAAAATACAGAGGTTTTTTCGAAGCATATAGCAGGCCATAAAGCCTGAAATGCCTTCAGAAACTTAAACTTCGCTGCTAGTTTTGTGTTTAACAAATGCCGAAATTCTTAACTCGTTTAAAATACAAAATCCTTTCTTTCCCATATTTATTTATTAATTTTTAATGCTTCTGTGGCTTTAAATGACTTATTTAAAATTTATTCTAATTTAAATAAATAGTAAAACATTCAAGTATTGTGAATAAGTGCTTAGTAATAAAATAAAATTAGTATAATTAAAAAAAAGTGCAAAGTTGTAAATTCATAGTTTTAATTTTTTCTTTGCAACAACCATACTTGCTACTCTGTCTCTTAAAATATAATTAGCTAACAATAATTGATGTTGTTTAAACTGAAAAAGGTCGCAAACGATAGATTTTAAGAATTTTGTAGCCCTATATAAATATTTGTGTTTTATTCAAAAAATTTATCTACCAAGGGCTACTTAAATTATGTATTTTAATAATAAAACACTTTTAATCTACTAACCATCATACAAATTGATGTATTCTAAAAGCGCAAGTATATTCCGCACAATAATGCCCTAATTAAAGGGCCTGAACGCTTCCAACTCCTTTAAAAGCTGATTTATTGCGCAACCACACAGTCCAAGGAAAGTATGCTAAATTCATTAATAATTAACTGTCGACTTCACTGTCAGTTGTGCTGTAATCTAAGTGCAACAACAACGCCTCACGCTTAATTACTTCTCACAACAATAAGTGTAAACTATTCAAAGTAGCCTTTTAGGCGTACAAGCTAACACTCAAGCGACTTACCAAACTGGCGAATAGTAGACACACTCATGATGTAAACAAGGGGTACAACAAAGCAAGTAACAAGAATGTGGCAAGCAATAAATTTTAGTGTGAGTACGTGGCAATACTGCGTATTCCACACACATACAAGCATAAACACGTAACGCGCGCTTTGTATGCGAATTGAAATTGTAGCGTATCAAGTCGCTAATTGATCGCCAGCAAAAAGACAAACGAGTTATTCATACACAAATACAAACAAAGTAAAGAAAGGTGTTAAGTGTATATATGTACAAAAGTAACTGCGCTCTTTACCATCTTCAGAGTTATCATGAATTCAACGTTTACATATTGTTTGTTTTGCGCACTCTGACAGCTTAACAAATGCGGTTAATGCGGAAATTTACCGCCTGATACGCAAAACTGCTTAAATATTAATTGTATAAAGAAAACACATGTAATTGTTTGTGTGCTTTCACGTCGAAATACTAAACAAGCGCTTAATATAAAGCTGCGTGTGCTTCTGCAAATAAGGCAAAATTTAATATACTTTTGGGAGCACAAAAGTTCACACGTGCATGTGAGATAACTTACTTCAGATAGCTGACCCAAAAACCTTAACTTACCTATGGCAAACAGGCACTAAATTATAAATGACGCATGTCCAGCAAGTGCTCAACGGGGAGGGAGAAAACTTTGAGACCGCCAACAGAAATTGTAAGCAGCGCACGACCACAACTAATTCAACTAACTGTACTAATTAAGCTGCAATGGTTAGGCGCCTAGATGTAGGCAACACAAGCAAACATATATTGGCTATATACATACATAGCGGACGTCGTATAACACATACATAGAATTGGCAAATGTTTGGACACAAATCCAGGTTTCAATGAGTCCAAACTAAGCCGCAAAGTAAACAATTAATATGATAGATATCTCCTAAACTGCTGCTTCATTGAATTCGCAATTAACTGACAGTAAAAGGTGTGGCTTTCGGTTGGCCTACGTAAATATATAACTTCCAGTGTGTGCCTTGCGGCAAAACTTTTTTAATACTCCTTAGCGAAATTGACACTTTGACATCTCAGCTCAACTTGTCCGGCTGTTTCGGAGGCACAAAAAATGTGTGCGTTATTAGCAATTGGTTTATAAATAAAAGTATGTGTTGCTTTTTGGGGCAAAAACAAAAACATACAAACTAATTGAGCAGAAAGTAGAACGAAACACCAATAAAGACCCTAAAAAGTTGTGCGTAGCGGCACTGAGCAGGTGCCGAAGCAAAAACAAGTAAATATACTTAGACTGATAGAATTTTTTTAGGCACAAGGTTAAATTACTTTGACAGTTTGCCGATATTACGTGGGATCTGCCTTAAATGATTTATGAGTTGCCTTAAACGTAAGGCGAACTTACTGCACAATGTGCTAAAAGTAAGCAACAGGTGATGAGGAGAGAGTTCACTAGAAAGAAGCTCAAGTTTTTTAAAATATTTTTTAACAAAAATTTCGATTGCAGTTTCTAATATTAAAATTATATAAATACGTGCCAACAATGACAAAATTTTATTCCTTCAGTAGTTGCATCCGGGCACCCACCATCGCAGTGTTTCTGTCCGGATATGGAAGCTGTCCACATATGGGGGCGTGTCCAAAACTTGTGTTAAAAAAATGTATTCTTAGAGTCCCTAAAAACAACATAAGGTTATTTATTTATTTATAATTTATTAAATGATGTATCCTTTAAAAATTATTTGTGTTTAGGAAAGACAAATTCAAAAAAAAAATATACATGAATACATATATGGTATATATGTATTATATTCAAATACTTATACTCGTTAACTGAAGTTGAATAAATATTTACGAAACCATTTTCCAAAATGATAAATAACTCGACTTGTTTCAATAAAGGTGACCCTAAATATAAGACACACGGAAAAAATGACAAAAACATTTTTCTCAGAATTTAGTTTGTTTCCGTTGAGCCCCCGCGAACAAGAGATAAAACGCAAGTAAACTTGCTTGTCTGTAATCTGTTTGCGAATTGTTCTTAAAACACTGTCACCAAACTCGACAAATTTATAAACAACGGGAATTTTACATCCGTCCCGTTATTAGAGATAATTTGAGCAAAACACAATTCGCAATCTTTTATTTCCCCCTGCTTTGTTTACTTAACCCGCTATTTGCTGCCATTTGATGGATAAGAATGTGGTCCTGCTGCCACTGTTCACAAAAAGCATTTTGCTTTAAACTGGTACAAATTTTCAATAACTTTTGTTATCACATCCGTATGCCGTGGAGAATAAAAGTCAGCTTCGTGAGCACAAAAGAGTTAAATTTCGTTTTTAACGGTAATGCATTCTACTAAAGAAAATCGACTCGCAGGGAATTCGCTTAAGTGAGTCGAGATTTGTTACCGATTAAAAGAGGACATGATTTATGACTCATATTTTTATTACGAGTATAACGGTGACTTGCTAGAAGCTAAATGGTGACAAAACAGAACACCGATAAAAACATGAAAACATGAAAACGGATGTCTTGGGTATGGCTTTTGGTTAAGTAAGTGGTCTTTTGTGCTATAGTTATGCTATGAAAATATTTAAATTTTTTGATTTATATAAAGTAATTATTTGGTATAATTATTGGGAAATTTATGAAAATAATTAATAAAAAATAATAAATAAATGAAAAGCAAAAATCTTTTTAAAAGATGTCGATGTGAATTTAAACCGATAAGCAACTTAAGTGTTCAAACTTTAAAACATTTTTAAGTTATATAGCATTTGAAACACACATTTTATACCAATATAAGATTTTTGAAACTTTGCAAAGTCAATTGACCTTAATAAATAAGCAATATTACGGCTCCATTATTTTTTCCAATGATGTATCAACTGAAGACCCGATTATGACAATGAAAAACTAATATTTTTTTTAAGATAAACGAGGAGGAAATTTGACATGCAAAATATAGCTTTAAAGTTCACTTAACAGCTGTTCTGATACATTATGATAAAAACACAGCTGCTTTCACTAATTCCTAACAAAAACAAAAAAATTTCCAACTTCCTTCAAGCGCATTATTTTAATGTAACTAACTGTATACTTACTACACTTTTTCCATTGCCGAAACTTGCGGTAAAAGTGATAGGAGAAGACAATGAAAATCACAGAAAGCACCACCAACGCGGTGACCACGCCAATCCACAAATAATTGATGACCGCATGCATGTTGGCATCGCCAAAGAAACCTTCCAAGAAGTTGCCACCCACACTGCTGACACCGTTCTTCAGCTTGGCCAAATTGAGCACTGCACTCTTAGAGATCTGCTCGCTGGTGATGCGTTGACCGGTTGCGTCGATGCCAAAGGGCCGTAGCGCGTGCTGCTCCTCCTGCGGCTGGTATGACCCGCTATGAGCGCTGGCTGAAGCAACAGTGTCGTAGGCCACATTGCCGATACGCTGAAGCAGTCTATTGAATGTGTGCAATTTATTGATGTGTTCGAGATCGTGATGGGATGGTATTTCGAAAGTGATTTGGTTGTGCGACAACTGTTCGCCGGAGTGCAACAGCCTGTCGACGACGCCATCTGGCGTGACTGCCGCCAAACTTAGGAACGGCGTATCGGTAGTATCCACGGCAAATGTTATCTCTGGTGCGTAGGTTGTAGTGTCATAAAAATAATCCATTGTTTTGGTGTCTTGCATTTTGCGAATTTGAGTTATGCACTTTTTGGATCAACAATTTTTCACCGCACAATTTTGTTGCAATAACTTTAAAATAATTCTTTATATTTTTTTTTAAATTTTCTGTTTCTTTCTCCAATTCACAAGAGATTACGTTTAAAATTTGCTTTGTTTATCATGTTCACGCTTCAAAACACCTTTTTCTTCACTCTTGGCTAAATTACGCGCCAACAACGCGTCTTACTTACTACGTGTACACGCGTTGCCCGTCCAAGTCGAACTGAATTCTGTACCGCTGCATGCAACAGAAGTCACTTTCCACCAGCCAGCCGATTACTAGGTAGCCAAGCGGCCGTCAGTGACGCTCAGTAGGCAGAGTTAAGGGTATACTGACGCCGCACGAGTTGCCAAAGGGAAATTTTAGTTTCAGTCTCTCTCTCGCACTCGCTCTCACCCGCACGCTTCGCCCTTTACACTCGAATGCAGTGGTCTTGCACTCAACGCCGCTACCTGATCACAACTGGACTTAGCGCACCCAGCATTGACAAACCAATTTTTGCAACGCGTTGTTGCAACCATGCACACACTTGCAACTACATACTATGTGCGTGTGTGTATTTCGATTGCTGTTGAGTGGGTGTTAGTTTGCGAGAATAACTAAATAATGTTCAGAAGGAGTTATTGAGACGAGTGGCATAGTTTGTGTGCGAACACATAAATAGTTATGTTTATGCATGTGTATGCGTGCTCAGTAGTTGTCGTTGCAATCGGCAGAATATGCTACTGACCCAATTTCAAAGCAATTGCAAATGAAACGACGACGAAACACTGCATTGACGTTGAAGTTGTTGTTGTTGTTTTTGTCGAAATTTCTGTTGCCATCGTGCTTTTGTGGCTTTGGGTGCTGATGGATTACAAGTTAAAAATCTAGTAATTACTATTTAGCTTATTCCCGTTATTGGGCATATGTTACACATTCTGTGTGGTTTTATGTGCCAAGAGTATATGAATATGCAATTAAATATGTAAATTTTAGAGTTCTGCATAGATTAAGATGAGGTTGTGTTGAGTTTTATATTTTATAGAGGGTAGAGTTACTCCAGCATTTGTGATATACCAAATTTCGCTTTCAAAAATAAAATATTTTGAAACATAAAGTTCTTAAATATCGGAATACTAAAGATGGAAGCGACAACGTTACGTTTAGATAAAATATTTTATATATCTTGGAACGAGTATCGATTCAAGAAGCTATGTATATTAGCTTTAGGATCAAACTTCGAGATATTTTGGTCCACAAAATCTACTTTGTACAGCTTTGAGAACATTTTGTGCTGAATATTACTTCATAAAGTTATGAATCGAAATAATATCTTTTATAGATACGATTGGTAGTCAAAAAGATGAATTTCCTGATAAATTACTAAAGTTTCAAAGTTTTTTCTTAGCAATTACAAAATATAAATTAAACATTTTCAGAGTAAGAAGCAATTATATTGTAAGGGATCGATGGAAATTTAAAGCGCTTAATATAAACTCAGTTTTAGCTTTTAAGTTTTTTTATTTTCATACACCTCCGTCCCCAATCTTAAAACAGACACATTTTTTTACTATTCATATATTCCAATAAATTATTTTATTAAAATAATAGGTGATTTTTTAAATATTTTGCAAAGAAGTTAAAGTTTTTGAATTTAGTTTAAAAACAGTTTAACTCAAGCCACTTCTTTATCGTTTATAACAAAAACAAGTTCCCAGCCCATATCCTATTTTCATATCATAACTTATGGTTACATAACAAAGGCATACCTGCCTTTTTTTTTTTAAATTCGTAGCGAAAACTATAGCAAATGCTGTTACGTTCTAATCTCTTTAAGAGTGCAATAAAAATGAACATTGAAATGCGAATTCGCATAACTCACTCAATTTGCTTTGCAACAAAAAAGAATGCGCAAACAGTAAAAGTATTGAGTTAGCCATATTATTGCTACTCAGTGGTAAAATCTACTACATTTTCTGCGCTCATTCCATTTCGAATTAAATCAATACTAAGCAAATTCAGAGGATTATGTATGTTATGTTATGCCACGACTGAGTTTTTACTCAGTCAAGTGGTATTCAGTGTTTAGTAGAAGCGGTCACATTTAATTTCTAACTCAAGAGTGCAGAGAAAATTTCCCTTTTATGTGCTCTTGGGTTTTACTTTGTGCAGCATTTTGAGCAGCATTTTGAGCAGCATTTGTTATGTGAAAATTCAACTCACGAACAAACCACAAAACATTTCCAATCCTACTTGCTAAGGGTAAAGGTGAATAATTGAGTGATATAGATGTTATTAATTTTATTTGAACAAAAACGCGTAAATTTTGAAAGATAATGAAATTTTAAAGAAAAAAAAACTTCTCTTAATATCCAACTTAGTATAAAAATAACAAATTCTGAATTTTAATACAATTTTGTAAAATACTCTAATTGAAACACTCCATTGAACTAACTAAGAAAAAAGGTTTCTTTTTTTTATTAAATGGTTTCGAAATGTGAAATTTAAAATATAATACCGTTAAATAGGGCCCAGTGCTCATATGTCCTTGAATCTATTGTACTCGTTATGGCCTTTTATGTGATGACATACATGTACACACAGCTTTATATTTCAGAGTTTTTATCGCAACATTTTTGCTACTGAACGTCACTTATGCGCAACTTGTGTCGCAACAGAGGCGAAGCAAGTGTCTTGACAGGCCCGGCCGTCAGTTAGTCAATCAGCGTCACTGTAAAACACGCTTTTTGGCATGTCAGCATGTCACCATATGACATAGTAACATAATAAAATAGCTTGACAGCTGACTATAACAACAAGAATCAACAGCAACAACAATAACAACAACGGTAGAGTGGTATAGCAATAACAATAGCCGCAGCAAAAGCATGTCATGCCGCCGCGCCAAGCCACACTTAACCAAGCCCCTTGACTGTCCGTCCGTCCGGTAGACCGACAACTTTCAGCATTATGTGAAAATATGAAAAGTAGAGCTGGCTTTTAGAATACTCCCATAGCGCAAGAAAATAGAAATTTTATTATGAGCATTTTTACAAGCTTTATACATATACCTACATACATATTTATGGGTATGTGTATGCTTATGTGTGTTTATATACATATGTTTATTTGTATACTCATAAGTAGTTGTATTACTCTTTTTGAATTTTCTCACCCAAAAGTTACGTTAGTAAATGTTAAAATTGCAACCAGCACCAACATAGGTACATACGAACGTCCTATTTTACACTTGCATCTGCTACTGTTTTTCATCAATATTATGTATGTTATGAAAAACAAGTTTTGTTAAATGTTCGTATTTCCATTGAGGCAGCAAAAGGTTGAGTTGATAATTTATAGATATATAAACATGTATGAGTTCCAAATACTCGCAAACAAAAGTTTTGCGGCACATATTCACTAATAATGTGATAATTTTTCAATGCTCTATACATTTCAAAATTTTATATAATAATTAATATTAAATAAAGTGTGAAACTAGGAAAATAGGAGTATGCTATGTAGTTCGAGCTCGTTTTCAAATCTTAGTTGGCAATGGTTTCAAATATTTACATAATAATAAGAAATTCATATAATATTGAATCTCGAATTAGTTGGTTTTCGTTCAGCAACACTTTTTTGGTATAGGTTTTCAAGTCTTTTATTGGATTAAGGTCAGAAGACTGAAAAGACCAGCACATAACCTTAACTCCATTGACCCTTAACCACTAGAACTTTCGCTACCAAATAATTTAATTTTGGTTGCATCTGACCACAATATGTTTAGATATTTTGCCACGAGCCAGGAGACAGTACTTTCCGTGGGCTTCTTGTTCTATGGCAAATGCCTACTAGTATTAACTAGCAAATTTAGCTTGTCGCTGATACTTCCAGCTGCAAAAGCATTATTTTTGCAGTAGTTTATCATAATGAGATCGTCTGCAAGGTACTCGTTTGTTTTCCGCTTTCGTTCAGGGGTTTAAATTTTATTGCTATAATGTAATGCATCTGTAACCAAAGCATCACTCGATTTCTTGGATTACCTTATACGTTTTTCCTAGTTCTTTTAATTTTTTATTATTTCCAGCCTAACCTATGTACAATGCTTGCCAGTATTCAGTTATATCTACCGCTTTTCTTCCCCACCCTACATGTGATCCAGAAAGATTATGCAGCCAAATACACTTTTCATATTGGCACTGCTATTTTTTTGTGGACAAATGAAAATGTTTGTATGCAAATATTTACAAATTGACTGCTGTCAGTAAATAAAAGGTTTTGCTCTTTCAAATGCACTTAGACAATAAATTTCTTTATCGTAAGATAAATTTATTTAACAAATATAAGTAATATGTTGCGTATTCTTCGTAAGAGTCTGAGTTATTAGCAAAGGGCATGTAAAGCATGGTAATATATTACTAAGGCCGTTTTCTCAATGTCTGGTAGCACACATCTGTCAGTTAAGTTCTGGTTAACTCAACCGAAAGAAGCAATCTTGGAAAGATTAAAAACGAGAATATAATTTTTCGTCTAACAAAAGTTGCATGACCGATATTCATCTTGCCGAGCATGGCTCGAAGCGAAAAGAGTAGCTATATTCAACAGAACTAGGAAGAAGATCAAAGCTCGGTTAATAAAAATAGACCAAGATTACAAATATTAAATTCTTATATATATTATATATAATATTATATCATATTTTTATTTAAAACATTAAATATAGCTTATACTGGGGGTTTCAGTATCAGAAAAAATTATAGAACAGTTTGTATTTATTATAACATTTTAGCTCTCATACAATTATTTGGATTTTTAATTAAAAGCTTTAAACATTATCAAATTGAATAAAAAACAAACAAACAAGTAAGGAAGGGCTAAGTTCGGATGTAACCGAACATTTTATACTCTCGCAAAGTCAAATGGTATACTCGTTTTAGATTTCTTTGTGGATTGACTGATATTTATGGTAGAAGGTCAACTATAGGCACTGGGGTCCACATATTTAGTACTTAGGGGTTCGAACAGTTTTGGTTCGATTTAGACAATTTTTGGCCGCAAGGTGGCATACTTTAATTGCATTATTCACGCACAGTTTTACCCCGATATATTATTGTTACCTGATTTTCATAGTGGAAAGTGAAAGAATCAGATGGAATTGAAAAAGGTGTTATATGGGAAATAGGCGTGGTTGTAGTCCGATTTCGCCCATTTTTGCACTATGACATAGAAACATGAAAAGAACGTTACGTACCGAATTTGGTTGAAATCCGTTGAGCAGATCTCAAGATATGGGTTTTCACCTAAAAGTGGGCTGTGCCACGCCCACTGACTGATTTTAAACGCGGTTCCTATAAAGCCCTTCTAGTGAATTTTGTTATTATAGCATTAGCGGTTTAGGAGATATGCATATTAAACCTATTAGAGGCGGGACCACGCCCACTTTTTAAAAAAAGTTTTCACTGCAGATGCCCCTCCCTAATGTGACCCTGTGTACCAAATAACAGTCTTGTATCTTATTGCGGAGCTTAGTTATGGCAAGTTATTTGTTTTTGATTAATGGC